TCTCTGCTACCTCTTGCAGAGAAGATTTCTTTGAGATAAATGCACTATAGAACATTTCTGCTCTGTCCCTTTTGATATGCAAAAGCTTAACTTTGTTAGATTACCATAGACGGGCAACTGTCTGTAAGTGTTTACGCTTGCTCTTCCTAAGATTGTTGGTCTAAGAGAATAAATATAGAATGTGATGAAGAATCAGGGCTCTCAGTGAATCCCATGACCCCATGCTTTTTTTCCTCTTTTATGTCTGTCTCATTAATCCTTGTGGTGCCCTATCTTCAGACCTGTTTACCTAGGTTTGGTCCCCAGCACTCAGGCATCACTAATGTCAAGCTCAGGGGATCACATGTGGTTTCACGGACAGAACTCAGTTGTTGGCATGCAAGAAAATTGCTTCACCAGCTGTACTATCAGCCTGGCCCCACCCTTAGTTTTTTTAATAATCAAAACCAGAGACCAAAATTTTACACTGAAATGCCCTATCAGGAATAGAAAACATCCTTTGAGGATATATAATGTATCCCTAAAGAGAACTCTTTTAGGGTCAGGGAGATGGTTCAAAGGGCTGGAGCACATGCTTTGCATGCCAGAGTCCTGGATTCCATCCCCAACACATGGTCCCCAGAGCACAGCCAGGAGTGACCCCTCAAAACCACACCTAGAGTAACCTTCAAGCACTACTGAATGAACCCCCAAATCAAGAGTAAATGTCTGTACTTTAGATTGCATATCTAAATTTTGATTCTGAATATTTGAATCTTGATTTTCTTTATTATGTATTTTCTATAAATGATAGTCTATAAACATATGCTTTTATATGCCATCTTAAACTTGTTCTATTTATATTAAGGTAAAGGTAAAGGCCCTCCCGTTGATCGTCGATTTGCTCGAGCGGGCCCAGTAACGTCTCCATTGGAGACTTTGTTGTTACTGTGTCTGGCATATCGAGTACTCTCGGTAGCTTGCCGGGCTCTCCGAGAGGGGCGGAGGAATCGAACTCGGGTCGGCCATGTTGGCCGCTTGTAAGGCGAACGCCCTACCCGCTGGGCCTTTACCTATTTATATTGACATATATAATTGACATAACTTTTTTTTTGCTTTTTGGGTCACACCCAGCATTGCACAGGGGTTATTCCTGACTCATGCACTCAGGAATTACTCCTGGTGGTGCTCGGGGGACCATATGGGATGCTGGGAATAGAACCCGGGTTGGCTGCATGCAAGGCAAACACCCTACCCGCTGTGCTATCGCTCCAGCCCCTATAATTGACATAACTTTAACTTGGAGAAAACAGTTCCCCTTAGATGTATGTATACAAGCATATACATATAGAGAATCGTTTTATAGACGTGTTACGTTCGTATAGGTGACTGGACAGGCAGTAGGCATCAAACAGTGGTCACCCCTACTCCTGAAACAGAGGTCAGCTTCATCAGCCCAACACTAAGCCTGTCCTCACCCAGGTGGTGACAGGCTCCAGGGTCAAGGCTGGGTTAAGCTTACAGACTTAGAACCACTCAAAGTCGAAGCCACACTTGACCTTGACCCCAAATCAGGCCTGTGAGAGAAGTGACAGGATGGTGAACAAAGCCAGAGAACAAGATGCAGCAGGCTGTAAGCTGTTTCAGCAGGGAGCTGGGGAAAAGTCTTTTACCCAGTCAAGCCTGGTGCCTTCAATGGTTGCAGAACCAGGAGGGTTGCTGATTCCTAAAACTTGACACAAAGGGAGAGAAAAAAGAAGTGACTTCTTTGCGGGGGGTGTGGCAGGGTCTCTTCCCCACCCCTATCCAAGGAACTGAGCCAATTCCATCTCAGTCTATGCAAATAGAAACAACACAAAGTTGATTATTGTTCCCACTCACTTTGCCACTTGGACATGGCTGCCTCTTTTTCTGGGCCGCAAGAGGAGCCCACACATCCAATGATGTGTGGATGGAGCTCGTACTTGTGCCTGATTATAGAGAGAGGAAGAAAGCTAGGAGAATTTGCACAGCCTTCCTCTACTAGCAGGCCTAGAGCACCACCACTGCACTGGGAGAAAAGGCAGCTTCAAGGAGTCTGTCATTTCAGTTTTCATCTCTACGGAAGTATATGTCACACTGGGCTCTGGGAAGAATGCCAAAGGAAGCCAATATGTTTGTGTGGCAAGTTTTCGGTAATCAAATATTACGTGCAATTTGTTGGCTCTCAGCCCAAAATGGAAGCTTTGTGTGTTTTAGATGGGAGATATGGCTGCACAAATGTTGGGGCAGATCACATTTGATCTTCGAGTTGAACATCATGACTTCTACTTATTTTTCTCTCCCTCTCCTAGTAGCGGCTAATCAGGATCGAGAGTAGACATCTGGTACTACAAGAACAAACAGCTGAGATCTGGATGCTAAGAACACCTAATGTGGAATTTGGGGGAGCCCATGTGTTCATCGCAGAGGTTCTAGAGCATGTAGGACAGGACTATTTAGCCCACGGTTATGCCTAGCTGACTGCCTGTCATCCTTATTTAGATGTGGCTTTATTGTTCTCTATTTGTCCTAGCGTGTGACCTTATTCTCCTACAGGGAAACAAAATGATCTATAAATGAATGCTGGGGACAGAAAAGAAGACAAAAATCAAAAAGTCCAAAAAAATGAGCTGCCCTACTTAGAAAACAGAAATCTAGACTGCATTCAAGAGTGAAAAATAGCCAATTCTGCTGTGAAGCGGAGCAGCGCCATGAATGAGTTCCCCATATGTTCTAACAAAAATAAGAAAGGGCAATTAGCAAAAGTGTTTGAGTGTTCCAGCCAGCGTGAAAGCCAACTTTATTCGTGTATTTATACAGTTATTAAGGTTTAGAAGTCACTGAAATATGCAGGTATGGGGCTGGAAAGATAGCGCAAAGGGTAAGGTGCTTACCTTACAGGCAACAAGCCTGGGTTCAATCTCATGCATCCCTTACCCCTGATCCCTAAGTTCAGGGCCAGGAATAAGCCCTGACCACCACTGGGTTTGCCATTGCCAATAAATAAATAAATAAATAGATAGATAGATAGATAAATAAATAAATAAATAAATAAATAAGACAACACGCAGGTTATGACTTTACTGCACTGTATAGGGAAAAATGATAAGCAAATCTGGAGTTTTTTCAGGTGTGGGATTATGAAAGATTTGAGGGGCTGGAGCGATAGCATAGCAGCAGGGCATTTGCCTTGCATGCATGGCCGACCCGAGTTCGATTCCTCTGCCCCTCTCGGAGAGCCCGGCAAGCTACCAAGAGTATCTCGCCCACACGGCAGAGCCTGGCAAGCTACCCGTGACGTACTGATATGCCAAACACAGTAACAACAAAGTCTCCAATGGAAATGTTACTGGGCCCGCTTGAGCAAATCGATGAACAACGGGAGGACAGTGACAGTGACAGTCATGAAAAGGCCTAGGATGTGGCTCTGCTGTCCAGAGTATGCTTTGCATGCATGAGTCCTCTGGGTTACATCCTGGACAACACATGCACAAATGCATGCAAAATTGTCAAGGACCAGCGTCCCTCTTATTTGTTCAATTGGTGCTTGACCGTTTCCAAAGTGTTCTTCTGCACTCAAATAATGTTGCTGGGCATCGATTGGAAAAACAATGGAGGGACAAAAGAGTCAGCCAGACCTAGATCCTCCTTGGGCCTCAAGCTCCAGACAGAGTCTTCTCTCACCCGTGTCTTTAGGTCTCCAATGCCATTCACTCTGGCACACTTCACAGGCTCCAGGGAGAAGCAAAAGGACTCACGTGGTAAAATGTCAATTATAAGTGGGTCTTGTGAGGTTAAGTCATTCGTTCACTTGGCAAACAGTAGTGCATTCTCTTTGTACCATGATCAGCACAGCAGTGGGGAACGTGGGGAGCCCCACACTTGTGACTAAAGATCCAGGCAAGATGTACTTAAAGGGAAGAAAGAACTTTGCCAGGCGATCATTGCACCAGGGGGTGGGGGCAAAGGAAATCCAGTTCCAGCCACTACCCACAGCTGCTGGGCACACATGTTGGCACATACACACTCTCCCCTCCCAATTCTACTCTGGCTCCCCATTTCCTGCAGTTGAAATGAACTTAACAGTGGGCGTTAAACCAGCCAGTTCCCTCCCCAAATTTCCACTGGGTTGCACACAACTTAGCTGCCCTGAAGGTACAGTCCGGTCAGAAAAAAATATCATGATAACTTACCAAAAAAGGGCGGACGGAGCAATAATACAGTGGGGAGGGTGTTTGATTTACATGCAGCTGACCCAGGTCCAATCCCCGGCATCCCATACGGTCCCCCAAGCACCGCCAGGAGTAATTCCTGTGTGCAGAGCCAGGAGTAGCACCTGAGCACCGCCGGGTGTGACCCAAAAAGACGAAAAAAAAAAAACCCAGGGGCTGGAGCAATAATAGGACAATTGCCTTGCACATAGCTGACCCGGATTCGATTGCTAGCATTATACATAATCCCCTGAGCCCCAGTAGGAATGATCCCTAGGCCAGGAGTAAGCCCCCTGAGTGCCACAGAGTGTGGCCCAAAAGCCAAAAAAGGGGTTGTCACTGGAGAATAGTACAGTGCGTAGAGTGTCTGCCTCGCAAGTAGCTGACCCAGGTTCTATCCCTGGCACCACATATGCTCTCTTGAGTCATTCCAGGAGTGATCCCTGAGCACAAAGCCAGGAGTAAGCCCTGAGCCCCACCAGATGTGACCCCCCCAAGCCCCCAAAAATAATAATAACCAGAGGTAGAGACAGGAATGGAGCTCAACAGTAGGGTGTTTGCTCTGCAGCTGTGCCTTCAGAGGCCCTGTGCACATCTCCCAGGCACTGCCAGACAGAAAGGAAAATAAAAACAACACATTGAGGGATCAAAGGAGGGGTGGAGGTGAGAGAAACAGTCTTACCAATAGATGTGAATGACACATTATTTAACCTAATTACCTGCAATGCCACATCCCGCCATTAAGGATCCATCTTCTGGAATAGAATTTCCTGCTATGGAAATACTCACCCACACACAGGATGTTGAAGCAGAAGCCCTGGCTCACTGACTTATTCACCAGCTGGTCAGGCAAGCTGTCAAACCCCACATGTCCAGCCAGGGGGACAGTTCGGCAACCTTCACCCTAATGTGGAGGGGAGAGGAAAGGGAGAACATTAGGGCTCGCTTCTCCAAGCAAAGACTCTCGGTGCTGGGAAGTGACATCCACGCAGGTTGAGGAGCTCAGCTTCTGCTTAGCGCCTCCCAGCTTCCAGTTCGGTCATGGATGAATGAGATTCCATGATGAAAGTCCCCAGACGTGCAGATGGAGCAAATGACAGATGGAGCAAATGCAGGGGCGGATGGGAGGGGCCAGGATGGTCATGCTGGCACTGATGTTTCACAGACTTGGCTGGACTGTCAAATCAATGTCTTTTAAGCTGGCAAACCTCCTGGAGACTCAGTTTCCTCCCTCATCTGTCCTCAGAGAGAATCTGACCTATCCGACAGGGGCACTGGGAGCTGCCCACAGTCTGATATGGGTGCACATTGCCCAGTACAGTCAAAAGTGTTGGGTAAATATCAAAAGGGACTTGAAAAGGAGGCAGGTGTCAGGGACAAAACTGAATATGCTGGAGCACATGTTGTGCATGGAGGAGCCCCAGGTTGGATTCCTGGCAACACCTACTACTCAAGAACCAATGGGAACACCACTCAAGCACTGAACTAGGAGTAGTCTCCCCAAACCCAGCAGTGCTCGGGGCTTATTCCTGGCTCTGGACTCAGGGATCACTCCTGGGGGACACAGGAGACTTGATTAGTGTGGAGAGGGGGATTGACTGAACTTGGATTAGCCACATTCAAGGCAAGCATCCAACTCACTGAACCCATCATACTCACGTTAAAGGGAGGTGATACTGTCCTCACTAGGAGCTTCTGGGACTTGTTAAAGGTAGGAGAGCTTAGAAATGAGATATTTTGAATTCAGGGGCTCTGGAGAAAGAGTGAAATGGGCTGGATGAAGGGCGGGTTTCTATTGCAGGAATCTGAGGTTTGATCCACAGGACCTCGTGGTCTTTCAAGCACCACCAGAAGTGACCCCCCCCACCCCAAACATCACTAAGTATCCTTTCTCGAAGAGAAACCCAAAATAAGTAACTTTGTAAATCACGGTGCCTAAATTTAAAACAAAATTATTTTGGTTTTTGGGCCATACCCAGAAGTGCTCAGGGAATACTCCCAGCTCTCCACTCAAGAATTATTCCTGGCAGTGTTTAGGGGACCATATGGGATGCAGAGACCAAACTTGGGCTAGTCGCGTCCAAAGCAAGAACCCTAGCAGCTGTATTATCTCTCCAGCCTCTAAAAATTTTTCTTTAAAAAATTAAATGAAAGAGAACCCGGGGGATAGTACAGCAGGTAGAACATTTAACTTGCATGCAGCTGACCAGAGTTTGATCACCAGCATCCCACATGGTCCCCTGAGCACTCCCAGGAGTGATTCCTGAGTGCAGAGCCAGAAGTAAACCCTGAGCATCCCAGGTGTGACCAAAATTTGAACTAAATGGAGGAGTCAGAGGGATTGTACAGCAGTTAAAGCACTTGCCTTGCACATATCCAACCCAGATTCAATTCCTGCCATTCCATATGGTCCCCAAAACACTGCCAGGAGTGATCCCTGAGCATAGAGCCAGGAGTCACCTCTGAGCTCTGCTGAATATGGTCCAAAAGTCAAAATGAAAAATAATTAAATGTTAAATGGAGACTTTATTTTCCCTAAATATTTACTGAAATAGAAAATCAACAAAATAAATGGGTATTACCAGAAAACAATGATTTTGAAATCAAGTAGTCAGGGTCTGTATCCTGCCTCCTTCCATCTTAGGGCCTCTGGCCCCTGCATGGGTCCCAGGCTCCTTGGAACTCTTTTTTTTGTTTTTTGGGTCACACCAAGTGATGCTCAAGGGTTACTCCTGGCTTTGCACTCAGGAATTACTCTTGGAGGTGCTTGGAGGACCATATGGGATGCTGGGGATTGAGCTCAAGTTGGCTATGTGAAAGGGAAATCCCCTACCCACTGGACTATAGCTCTGGCCCCTGGTCCTTGGAACTCTAATAGGGGTCATGTTCCCTGTCTATAATCTGAAAAACTAGAATGAGGATGACACAAGCTATTCTGAAGCACTGGCTGCTGCATCACAGGCAGGAAACCTAACCCCATCCAGAAAGCAACCTTGCACTTAGAATCCCCCAGAAGAAACCAGGATGCCACGGGACACTGAGACCCATCAAGAGCTGCCTTCATGCTCCCTCAGCTGCCTTGTCTCCACAACAATCAGCCAAGTTGCCCCCACTCCCACTCCCTACCTCTCAGTCCTGGAAAGTAAAGGGCCTTGCACTTCATAGGCAAGTCCCAAGGCTTCTTACTAGTAAATATATTAAAAGACCAGGCAAAACCAACAGGAGCATAACTCCAAGGATCCGGAAGAGGAATAAAGGGGCCGTGCATGTTCTCAAGAAGTGTGTTACATGGGTCATCCAGTGAGGAAGGTGCTTGGGTTCAAAGGGTCTTGAGTCCCACCAGGAATGATTCCTAAGTACAGAGCTTTGGGCACCACCCACTGTGGCTCCAAAACCAAATTTTAAAAAAAAGTGAAGGGGGGCAAAGAGATTGAACAGTGGGTAGGGCACTTGCCTTGTATGCATCTGACCCCAGTTCAATTCCAGGTACCCCATATGGTCACCCAAGACTATCAGTAGTGATGCATGAGTGCAAAGCCAGGAGTAAGCCCTGAGCACAACCAGGTGTGGTCCCCAAACAAACAAAAAACAAGTTGCTAAGTGGGCTGGGGAGATAGTACAGGGGTTAAGGTGTTTGCCTTGCAAATGGCCAACACGAGTTCAATCCCCAGCACCACAGAGGGTCTTCTGAGGACTACCAAGGATCACTCATGAGCACAGAGACAAGAGTAAACCCTGAGTACTGCTGGGTACTGCCTAAAAATAAAACAAAAGAGGGCTGGAGAGATAGTATAGCATCTAAGACACCTGCTTTTCATACAGTCAATCTGGGTACCATATAATGTCCTCCAAGCACTGCCAGGAGTAACTTTTGAGCGAAAAGCCAGGAATAAGCCCTTAGTACCACCAGGCATGGCCCCCAAAGCAAAAAAAAAAAAAAGAAAAATAGAAGAAAAATAAATGAACTGAGTGGTGTGGGGGAGAAGATGGCATAAGGATGGCATAAAGAGATTGCACAGGCTTTGCATGTGGGATCCCTGGATTCTATTCCCAGCACCGCCCAGTCCCCTGAGCACCACTGGGAGTAACTGGCAAGCTATGAGCTTCAAGCAGTCTCTGAGCACCGACGAGTGTGGTCCAAACGCCCCTCATTCCTACCCCCTAAAAGTGTGCTAACTGCCAACAGCCATAAAGTGGGGGGAAAAGAAGAAGGGCGTATGGAGCTGGCCTAAAGTCTCTGGAGGGAGTCAGAGTTTCCGTTGCGTAGGGTGCCTCAAAGGTTTCCATAGGCGGAAACATGCCAACAGCAATTCAGGAAGGACGTGGCTAGTGCAGGAGGCCTGCGCCCGCACCCTGGGCTGTGTCACCAGCCAGCTCTCTGGCAGGACTAGACCTGGTTGGAGATAAGGTCCATGAAAATAAGTGTTTCAGGGCTGGAGATAGCCCATGCCAGTTATGCACTTGTTTTGCATACAGCAGACCTGGGTTCGATCCCCAGCACTGCAGAGGGTCCCCTGAGCTACATCAGGAGTCATCCCTGAGTCTGGACTATGAAGAAGTCCTGAGCACAGTTGGGTGACCCAAAAACCAAAAGGGAAAGGGAGGGGAAAGGATGGGAAGGAGGATAAAAATGGGGAGGGGAGGGAAGGGGAGAGGAAGGGAGGGGAGAGACGACATGTTTAAAGAGGTGAGCTGTGATGGGGAGAAAAGAGGGGATTGAGGGAACTTCTCAGAGCGTGATGTCAAACTTGGTTCCTAGAGAGGCCCCAAGCAAGTTTGGGGGTCCTACTCTCCTTGGTGTCGTCAGAAACTCCAAGCGGCTCTGCCGGTGAATGCCATCTGGCAAGTTCATTATCCTCACACATCTCGCCCCACACACTCCCAGTGGAAGATTCTTGACAGACAACCATCTGCCCAGGTTGGCATCTTCAGGGTTCTGGGAGGGAGACAGCTGAAGATGGCTAAATTGCCCCTAGCATACACCCATGGGGAATCTTGGCCAGGCAGCCCTTCCTGCCCCTCCCCCCCCCACGCACCTCATTTTTCATAAAAGCACGCTCCAATCCAAGTATCCCACTGTGTCTTCCTGCTGCTCCACCCAGTAGGGGAGCTGGAGACGTGCAGAGCCAAGATGCTTTCTCGGCTGCGCCTCCTACATAGCAGGCATCGGAAACTGCAACCGCCGCAGAGCGGAGGTTTCCTAAGCCATATTTTATCGCCCCGGCTGCCTCTTCCTGTCTCCAAATTCAGCACCAGGAAACTGCAAGTGGTCCAAGTGCCACAAGGAGAGGAAAGGGAAGTTTGAAACTGCAGACCCTGAAGGGCAATGAACAGAGTGCCACACCTTACTCTCTTTGGGGAGCAGAGGGGAGTGTCTGGCCACACCTAGTGGTGCTCAGGGGTTACTCCCAGCTCTGCGCTTGGGGTCATTCCCAGTGGTGCTCCAGTGACTGTGCAGTGCTGGAAATTGAACTAGCGTCTGCCACATAAAAAGCATGAACTCTCCAACACTTCACCCACCTCTGCTTCCTCATATCTTATTTTTTGTTTGTTTTAGGGCCACACCCAGCAATGTTCAGGGGTTATACTTGGCTCTGCATTCAGAGATCACTCCTGGTAGGGCCAGGCATCAAACCCTGTTGACCACATGCAAGGCAAGTGCCCTACCCACTGTCTTATGGCTCTGGCTCCAGATACCTTATTCTTAAAGATTTACTAAATTGTTCAGTTGCAGGGATAGTCCAAGGGTTGAGGTACTTGCCCTGCATTGCCTTTGATTCCAAGCACTATGTATGTAGGGTCCCCTGACCCTGCCAGGAATCTCAAGCTCTCTGAGTACAGAGATTGGAGTAAGCTCTGAGCACCACTGGGTGTGAATGAAACACCCACATCCCCCCCCCCCAG